CTCAATGCGATCGCCTTGGTTGTCTTCTGAAGCGCTGCGGGGCGTTGATGAGGTGCGCACTTCGCGTAAGCTTAGCGCCCCGCACCTCATGCAGGGCGCTACGCCGCCGCGCCGCAGCGCTTTGCGCCCGAGGCGCGCGCCTCAGAGCGCTTTTAAAATCACTGGTTAGTTCTTAATATATTTATTTTGTTATTATCGCTCTTGACTGTTAACTGTTTTTTTCTTTGGCTTAATATCAATATGCAGAGTCATGATATTATGAACTAATTGCTTGCTTCTTATTAATACATATCAGTCATAATTGTTGAAAATGTGCTACTATTTGATTTTCTGTGTGAGACTATGAGTATTGATTCTTGTTATTTGAGCTAGGTGTAGTGCTACTAGTTGACTTGAAAGTTGAAAGTTGAAACTTGATTCGTCATTTGTAACCTGTAAAGAGGAAAATAAAATTTAGTAATATAGTTGTTAGTGATGCAATATACTAGTATGAAAGTTTGAATAATTTACAAGCTTGAATGAAAATTAACGTACAAGTTTAATACTTTAATTCACTAAATCTATATACTATATTATTTGTAAATAATAAATCTATGAATTTTGTTGCATACTGCATAATTGCATATATAATAATAAATATATGAATTTTTGTGGTCTGGAGTACGCCTCGCTTCGCTCGGGCGCGCCTTGCGCATGTGTGCGTAAACTTACTTTGCGCCTTCCGCATGTGCGTGTAAACTTACTTTGCGCCCCGCATTGCGCCTCGCGCATTGAAAACACTGGTCATCACTATCCTTAGGTTGAGCTAATGTGCACCTCACAACAATAAGTCGACGGGAAACTTCGCCCACTTTGTTGATCGAGGGTGTGGGCACGCTCCAAAGACATCCTAAGATGGCCTCGGCAGATTCATCCTCCCAAACATCTTCATTAGGGTTGTGGACAATCTCCTCTAAATCATCCTGGTCACTGTCCGATCGGGCCTCAACAATTAAAGTCCTTGTTTTACTCGGACACTTAGCAGCAATATGACCAAACCCTTGACACCTAAAACATCGAGTAGATTAAGCCGATCTAGATGACTCGCTGTAAACTCCCTTGCCTTTATCATCTGGCTTCTACGTGGAGGTTCTAGATCCAGTTCGGGGTTGAGACTGGGGTTGACTAAGTGGGGACTTAACAGTGATTGACTTATTGGTATTATTCCCATAGTCGGTGCGTCTAGTGAAAGGAGAGCCTTGTGATCGATCTAAATCTTGGACAAGTTAATAGGCTTACTCTAGAGTGGAGATGTCTCCCACAAAGAGTTCGCGCCTAAGATCTTCCCTAAGTCCTAAGCGAAATCTAGACAAGACTACAGTGTCAGATTCATTCTCGCCACACCTAACTAGAAATTCATCAAATGTGGTGATGTACTCTGATACTGGCCGATTGCCTTGCGTTAAGCGCTATCATTGATCGAGCAAGCGTTGTTTGTACGACATGCAAATATTTTTCTTAGAGTTTTAATTTTATCTCATCCCAAGTCTGTATGAGCTCTTGCCTCCTAAGAATCACCAGCTTCTCAACATTAGACTAATATTGCCTAGCCTGATCCACTAGCTTCATTTTGGCAAATCGAATTCGCTTCTCATCAGACATTTTATACCAATCGAAATAGTGGTCCATGTCCGACATACAAAAGATAAAAACCTGAGGATCTAACTGGCCTTCGAAAGTGGGTGCCTCTAGTTTAACATACTTTAGATACATCTCATCTGGGTCAAATGGTGAATTGTCCCTAGGTGAGCGATTTTCAAAACGGTTGGCATGAGGACCTATGTATTCATGAGGTTGATGAGGATAATGTCCGTTTCGAGATCCGCCTTCTTCATCATGTTCATGGGGCCTATACGTCACTTGGTCCAAATCAGACATCAATTATTTAACTTGTGATATCGACAACAAAATCCATGCTGATAATATTGAACCGTAAGATTGCAGCAAGATAATTAACCAAACTAGATTTGGAATAGTTCTAATTTAAAATCAAGATTTAGCACCAATAAAGGTAAAACAGAATCACACACAAGTTTAGTGGACAGCCAACAATTTTGATAGTATACAAGATGAACCGATCTAAAAGTGATTGCAGCAATTTCCAGATTAATTAGAAAGACGTAGAATCGATGATATTAGAACTACCTTGATGAAGATTCATTAACAAACCTCTGGTTGATGGTACTGCAGGCTGCTGAGTTGTTGTTGTTTGCTGTTGTTACTGTGCTGTGGTTGCTGTGCTGCTGTTGCTGTTCTTAGAGGATCGCTCTCCTGTCTCCGCTGAGGACGAGGCGATCGTCTCGGTGGTGCTGAAGGACCAGCAAGAGGGCTAGCTGACGTTGATGATGAGGAGGGGGCGGTCGTCGCGACGGCTGTTGATGCGGGAAAGTTAATGGTGATTGGATCTAATCTGAGAAGGGATCAGATCTGAGAGGGGGTGGTCATCGTGGAGGCTGTCGTCGTCTCCTATACAGTGAAAGAGAAGGATGCTCGTAGTGGAGGAGATAGCGTCTTGGTCGGAGGGGCTGCTTGTGGTAAGAGGAGCATGAACGGTTGGTGTGGAGGAGATGGCCGGCTGGGGTGGACTCGTGGCTGTTGTGAAAAGGAGATCAAGGGAGAGAGTCAGGGGAGGGTGGCGGTACGTAGCTGGCGGAAGAAAGAGCAGGTGTGGCGGCTGTGTGGCAGGGATTGAAGGCAAAGAGGAAAGATGGGAATTGAGGGTGTTTTGGCGAGGGAGAGGACGCGGAGGCGGGGAAGGTGGGGTTTTGGTTTGGCAGTTTAGAGGTGGGATGAAGGAGGCGGCTGGAGGAAAAACTAGGTCTAGGTTTTTTTTCGTATTTGTAATGAAGGGCTATGATGAGTTTTGAGAGTTGATGGGGGTCTAACACATTTGGATCTGGCTCTTCTTTTCTTCGGTTTTTTATCTCCTTTCTTTTTTTTACAAACTAAAAAAAATAAAAATAGAATAAGTGAGAGGAAGAAAGAGATGTAAGAACCTGAGGTGGAAAAGAATCTGGTTGATCAACTTTTGTTCTGATACCAAAATGATGCGGGACAACGGGATTTTTAGGGATTTATGGTGGGGATTTGGGAGATTTGGGGAAGAACAAGGATTTGGCGAAAACTAGGATTTGAAAAGATAACAAAATTAACAATTTTAACACGATATGACCACGAATCGTAACGCGGGCCTTGGCTTCACCACCATTGACTCAAATCTTAAAGATCAAATCAATTACACAAAGTCTCACAAACGAAAACCAAATTTTCTTCAAATAATCATTGCTTTATTTCATAGAATTAACCTCTTTAAATAAGCCTTCAACAAGTTTACTCCCATATCCGATGTGGGTCTAAAATTATTGAGCAAATACAATAAAGAGAAAATAAAAAGATAATACTAGCAATGTTTTCAAATGCGATTTGGGGCGCGCGCCTCGGGCGCGCGCCTCGGGCGCAAGGCTGTATCGTCCCGCATGAGGTGCGGGGCGCTACGCTTACGCCGAGCGTGCGCCTCCGAGCGCCCTGCAGCGCCTCATGAAAGGCGGCGAGGCGTGCGCATCAGTTTGAAGGGGATTTAGATGTTTAATAGCGGGCTATCGGGTAAAAAACCCGACTAAATCTTAAACCCAAATCCCAAAAAACTTGCTGTTCGGGCTCATCTCTTCGATTGCCACTACTGCAAAGAATTAGGGCTTCTTCCTTCTCTCTCCACTATGGCG